GGACAATTTTTTTTTTTTTTACCTCTGAGCTGCTGGACATCTTGCGAAAGTGAGAAATGAAAAGGGCAAAATCGTCCCAGGGGGGCGGTGACTAGTAATAAGGGGGGCGGTAAATAGTAGCGCCCTAAAGTTATTGGTTCAATGAGCACTGGTTAGATCAATGGTCAAATCGGTAGAATCAGTTTAATTAATATATAATTTAAATTTATTTGTTTGTATAATATATAATTGTAATTATTTTTATGCATAACTAGTACGTATCCCGTGCGATGCACGGGTATATAAATTTAGAGAATACTATAATTTGACATGCATTAGATATATGAGAGTTTAATACATATGAATATTATTCATCATAAAATGTTCGTCACGAAAAAATTTTATATTATTAAAGATCTCTTTGTACACAACATTATGTGTTTAATTATTGAGTAACTCGTTGTGAGGAGTAGGGGCCGACTCGGGAAAGACGCAGGCTACACAAAGGGCAGCGGAAATTGGGTCTCACTCAACTGGGCTCCCTTGCTAGGCTTCTCTTTTGGGCTGCGGATTCTCATTGTTCTCGTCGAAAAAATTGCCCTCACGCTTGGACTACTTTTCTAATTTCCAACTGTATTATAAATTATATTTTATTTCTACTTTAACTCTTTCATTCCTATTCTACGTAGACAATTATTAGACTACAAATAACAGCAACCTTTCCAAACACCCAACCATTCAACCACCCTAATATTTAATTATTTTCTCTCTCTTCCACATCATCAATGATCATCCCAACCACACCATCTCAATTTTACAAGTTTATTAGCAACCACACCAACATCCAACCACAACCTTTTTTTCTTAATTTGATTTTATTTAATTATTATATATTTTATTTCATTTCATTTTAATTATTAATTAATTCTTTTATTTGCTTTGATTTAATATAATTATATAATTATTTTATTTTCTTTGATTTAATATTATTATATAATTATTTTATTTCAATTTAAAAATAAAAAATAAGTATAGCAAAATTGATCTCTATTTGTAGAGAATTAAAAATTATGAATTTTGGTATATTTATTTATTTTTTTTATTTGATTATATAAAAA